TTTCAGCACAAAAAAAGAAACTGTCCAGATGACCTGACTGAAAAATGTTGGATTCTATACCTGGATTATTGAGCACGAACTTTGTTGTAGATAACAAATGGATTTCTGGGACTTTTTTTTATTAAATCAACACAAATTCTCATAATTTCAACTTATCAGCCAAGAAAAATCTATTATTTTAAGGGATGGCACAGCCAGGTGGGAAAATCCCATATTCAGTGAGTGAAACCCAAGTTTGCAGCTGAATCACGTATTGTATATACAGATTAGCTAATTGGAGGTAATTAAAGATGAAAAGCATGCAATTTGAAACCATTCTGTCTTGGGCTTTATAAACTTTGTTACATGTAATTATTTTGTTTTGTCTGCCTCTCCATGTAGAATCCTTTTGGTCAGCTCAAAGACCTGGTGGAGCTTAAGGACCAGCTGGAGGACATACAGAAACGTGTGGAAGATGAGATACAGGCTGGGGTTCCTCCAGTAAGTTTCAAGCAGAAATTATTATGAAGATGCTGTTTACCTTACCTTGTTGCATTTTTTTTTCATGTTGTAGGTTCGCCATTGAAAATTGTGACTTAACAAAATTCAAGAAGAAACATAACCTAATACAACAGATTAACAAGACCTGAAAGACATGACTTGAAGAAATAAAGCAAAAAGTCCATTGAAGACTTGTGTGTAAAAATGTGTCTGCAGAAAGGCTACAGTACATTTTTAGGAATTACTTTGTTTGGTTTAAAGTACGGTAATATTTTTTGCGTATCAAACTGTTGTAATATTTTTGTAGATGCAACTAAAGAATTGAGAAGTTGTGTATTTGTACTAGGTTCCTGGTTACAAAGTGTCTGACAATACAGTTTACAGTTAATTCTTTGCAAAGTTATTTTATGTAGATACAACAATGATCCACCACCTAAACTCACCCTTGAGTTTAGATGTCTTTTTATGCTGGAATTATTAATTGGTCAACGTTAGTGGCTGAAAAAAAAAAAAAACCCAACCCAAACTTTTCTCTGAACATTGACAGGTACAATTATCTGACTGAAAACAGATGAAACATTCAAAGAAAAGTTTAATACGCTGGTTTAAAGCCCAAATAATTATAGATTTAGTCTTTTTTTCAGTCTTTATTAATAAAACCTGGCTTTTTTTTAAAGCAAAAAAAAATAAAAGAACTTCAAGGGTGGCTTAATATCTTGCTCTGTTTATGTAAATCAACTGGACCAAATTTAATGTACCGTATTTTAAAATCATCTGTATTTCAAAAGTATTAGCTGCCTCGGTGTGCCGGGAGCATGCAGAGGAAGAAAGAAAAGGAAGGAGGAACGCAGTTCGTTTCTTCGAAATTTAACAAGAAAAGCACCTAAAACAATTATGTATTTGCTTGAAATTATAGTAAAGGTGTGTCTCAGTTGGACTTTTACTTTATAAATTCACTTTAATGGTCAAATTAGCTGCATTTCTCTGGGGCGTTGCAGCTGGTTTGATGGTCGGTCCAAGCAGCGAGCAGAACGAAGGTGGAAGATTATGGCAAGCCGATTGGGTCATTAATAGCTGGTGAAGATTCTCAGTCATCCAGGACATGGTAAATTCAAAAAAGTTCAAGACAAAAACAATATAGTATAAAGTATAATAAATAAAGTCCAGTTGTTTTGCGTCTTCTACTACTCTGATGCCATCTAGTGGCTAAAAATGGTACTGTTCAAAAATTTTTTTTGTCAGAATGAATAAAATGAAAAAGGTTATATCTCATCCAAAAATTGGTTTATAAATATGGGGAAAAAAATCCATAAATACGTCGCTTCGGCCTGTCAGTACTTGCATGCAAATGATGCAAAAAAAGTGACTTATAGGGCCAAAAATACGGTAATTTGGTCTAATTTAATGTTTCTTTTTTTTTTTCTAGGGTGGCAGCTTGCTGGCTTCTCCTTTCTTGAAGGGCTTTTTGGCGGGTTACGTTGTTGCCAGGCTCCGCTCTTCAGCATTGCTGGGTGTAGCGGTTGGGACATGTACAGGGATGTATGCGGCACAAAATTACGCTGTTCCTAATATTGAAAACACCATCAGGGATTACATCCGCAGCATGAAAGGAGGACAAAAATGAGAAAGAACTGGAAAAATTAAGAAGAGATTATGTAAAAGATTGTGTCAGTACAGCTGCATACAGGGAACAGATTTCAAGTTATAACCTTTTTAAAGAAGTTAACATTTCAACCTTCCAAATTGAGCAATAAATAATAAAAGTTCTTAAGTTGATAACATATATAGATAAATATAAATTCTGCATGTTTGATCAGTAATTGAGATGTAACCAAAAAACATGTTATTATTATACTGGATAAAAACTTCCAAAATGTGTTTTAAAGTAATTCATCCATTCTGAGCACACTGGCTGTAGCTCCTTCACTTTCAGTGTTTTTGTGTGTTTTGATACAGAAACTGAGGAAGTAATCTAAATTATAGGAACTTCTGTCAACCTTTTGTTTTACTTTCTTTTGCCCTCTTTTGGTCAGAAATTGCAGACATCAGCCTTATTTAGCATTTTCTCATTCAGAAGGTAAATTGGCATAACTTTATCTCTCACAAGTCTTCTGGATGTAGTATTTGTCAAACCTATGTTTATTTCTTTACTTTCTTTGCAGGTTTCAAAGCATTTGGTCACAGAGTACACGTATATGTAGAAACATTTAATGGCCCATTGTATTTTGCTAAAAAAAATAGGGATTAATGTTTGTGTAATGGTACTGAACGTCGTCTAGAACATGCACCAAAAAGTTTATATTTAAAGTTTTATTGCTCATGTAAACACGTAGAAATGCTTTATATCTTTTCTATGTGTAAGAGTGCCTAATGTGTTGACATTTGTATGATCATCTCATGCCATGTGTGCAATAAGCATTTCTGAGAACATTTGGCTGCCTTTTCCATACGCTGGAATTTAGTGGCTCTTTGCACTTCTGTTAGAGATCTAAAACAGTTTTTGTGGGAAAGTTTTTCTTGGGCATATATTGAGTTTGTACTATTTATTCAAAATGTTGAGTTGTCTTCCTGAGATGATTGTAATATTCAAAATGACCATAGTACTATTTTATACCAGTATATAGAAATTAAGTGGGAGTGTTTTTTTTTTTTTTTCATTTAGCATTGCATCCCGCAGCTGGTCCATCGAGAAACATATATTTAATTGGCAAAGCTTTTTTGTTTGAGTTCAGACATTTTATAAACGGTCAGTTATTTAGATTTTACGTAAATTGATTTGATGCAGCTTAAAAATGTGTTGATGCTGCATTAGAACTATATCCAGGATAAAATAAAACGCCAGCAGCAAAACTTAGAAAATTGACTTTACATCAGAATTTACATTTTCATTTGAATTAAAAATACTTCACATGAAGTGAATAAGCTTAATTTTGACACCTATGATTTATTAAGTTGTTTTTCTTTCGGCTGCTCAGCTCTCCACAGCTGGCTAACTCATGAATGATACGGCTATTGTTGTTTGTCAGCTGCTCTTCCTGACACAACGTTGGCTCAAACCTGCAACCTCAGGAGGCTGCAGGACTAACCGAGTACTGCAGCCACTTTATTGTCTATAAAGTATCGGACTTTTACTACGTGTCCGATTACAACTCAGGTTTTGAAAATTGGTTTTCACGTCTTTAGTTGGCCCATTGATATTGTGTCGCTGCCATTTATCACGTAATTGATTAGGCTTTAAACAGGTTTAAGATTAAAAAAGCCTTAAAAGATAGAACTTAAATGTTCGAGTTTATAGTTGTTTGTGCAGCAGAACATATTTATACTTTATTGAGCATGCATCAGGATATTTATACTGCATTACTGGTAACTGGAACACAGGAAAGTTGTGCCTTTGACAATCATTGCATTGTATTTTTCAGTTTGTATTAGTTTAGCAAGTTTTTTAAGTTATATAAACAATTGACAGGTCAATGTTTTTTTTCTTTCTTTTTTGGTGTTCTTTGGATGGTTTTTGTTGTTCTCTTGCACGTCTTTATGGAAACATTTGGCTCCACAGTTTGAAATTTGTCTGGGATCTCATGAAAGGTCACAACATTCTGTTACTGGTTTATTTGGGTCGTACAAATAAATGAAAAAAAACAAAAACAGTTTGTCTCAAGTGGCTCATTTATCAGTGACAAGACTTTTTGCTAATTTTTGAATAAAACCAAAAAATAAATGTCAGTATGTTTAAGTTGCACATGCTACAAAATAAAAAGGAATCCTAACTAATAAAAAGTTAAAAAGTACTGCTTCCTGTTAAAACTGGTTACACATAAGCTGCAGTAATAGAAAGCCAATAAACTGTTATAACATTAAACTCAATAAGCGAAATAAGTTCTGAATACATGGTGATTGGAAACTGGTAAAGACGATCAGAAGCTGAAGTTTCTTGAAGAAATTCATTCAGTTTGTGTCTGAAAAAGAAAACAAGATTTACTGTTGATGCATAGTTTTAGTCTTTCAATAAAAGATAAGCATTCTTTTGAAAAAAAAAAGAGACTAAAATACACTGAACAAATAGATAAAGCAGAATAACTCAATTAAAATGGTTTATTCACCTGATAGTCTGAAAGAGTTAGCAGGCCTCCTACAAAAGACAGATGTTTGAATGTCAGCAACTTAAAATGAAGTTTCTATTTAAGTCCTTTTCACTAACTTTGACCTTGTAAATGTTTATCTGGTCTCACCGGAGACAGCAGGAGCGCCGCAAAAGACTTTTCCCTGTCGCAGAGTTCCAGGGATCTGTTGCCCGTCCGCTGGGTTCACGCACCAGCACTGCCTCATGAAGCACTGCTGCCGCTCGTACAGGCCGTTCTTGTCACACCTGGGCTGGAAACCAGGGACCTGCACGGGTTTCAGACCAGCAAACTCCAGCTGGCAGGTGGTGAGAGGAGCGGCTGAAGAGAAGAGGCAATAAATCATAAACCCAATACGAACAAATGCTTACCGGTATTTCTAACCACATGTACATGAGGTGAATAGATGTTTGACGCCATGAGTGAATTTTTAATGTATATATGGGTATGACCATAAAACCAGCTATAGACAGAACTTACCAGTTTTTTCTGGGTCAGTTGATGCCTCCTGCCCAAAAAACAAAAAAAGTGGATTAAAGAAGCAAAAACCTTGATTTTCCCAGAACAAGACTAAATTAATTAAATGAAAATATGTGTAAACATCTAATAATAATAATTTAGTTTCAACACATCGGTTCTGTGGTAAGTAAAACACATACAACCTGGTAGAAGGGACTCTCCATGTCCGTGTGAATGTGTAAATGATAAATACCCTGACTGGACATCTAAGATTAAGATTGATAGTACCAGCCTATAAAGTTTGTTTTTTACCTCCTTGGTAGAGTCATCCAGCATCTCAGTCATGGCGCTCATGGGGATGTGCATCCGTACAGGCATAGAAGCTGCAGACATAAAACAGTATAGTGACATTCACAACAGTCTGCAGGGTATTAATGGGGAAAAGGGATAATTAAAGCTGTTGATGTAAGACCTGTTCATCACTTTTAGTGTAAAATTACACAATTTATTTAATGTTAAAGCCGAGTTGTCATCTTTTTCATGTGAAAGTGAGAAAAAAATATCCTCAAAACGACACTTTCTCCTACATTTGAGGCAGGTACACATTGATGAGTATAACATCTGTCAAATGTTTCTTTGTGTTAGAAAGAAGGGATTTCATTTTCACTCTTAAATGCTGGCTTTGTAAAATTAATTCATATCTTATGTGGAAATATGAAAAGTTTTTAACTAGCCCATAAGATTCAACAATAAAATCCAAACTAACGTATTATTTTTTTGCCAGTTGTCTTGTATCTGTTTAACTTTTAGTATTTATTTTGACGTTTTTGTAACGCAAGCTACCGTAATTTGTGTTTCCATATGTCCTGTTTGATTTACCTTTAGTGCGTCTGTAAGGATTTTTGAAAAATAAATCAAATAAACTCCATTTGAACTAAATCTCAAACTTCAAGCCAGACTTTTCAGGACAAATTTTCCACAGATCTCCTGAAATCTGACAAAATATTCATGTGCATCTGGGAAATTTGTATTCGGTCTGTGTAAAATTCAATTTCACTTCAGTTCGTTTGGGCAGAACCAAGAACTTCTAAATACTGTAATGAAGAAGAAAAAAAGCTATAAGTCCAGTTTAAATTCACATAAATGTATTCAGTCAAAGTCAGTTTTAAATGTAATTATATTCCAACTTAAATCCTTTTATTCTTGTTCAGAACATTTCGATTCAACCCACTTATAAATCAATTCAATACAATCAGGTTTAGTAAAAACTGCAGCTGTTCTTTTGAAACCAAACCTACAATCAGTCTGGAACTAAACCTGATCTCACCAGATCGCTCCTTCATCAGCTCCGTGTTGATTTTCTTGTTCTCCTCTTGCAGAGATTTGATGTCGCTCTTCTGGCTGAAGAGGAAGTAGGCGATCGCCGCCTGACCCACGATCAGCACACAGGCCAAAAGAGTCAGACCTGCCACTTTATAGGCCCGAGAGGAGCGGGGACTGAAGAATAAAAATGAAAACAGAAGGAGAAATGGATACTTGTTGGTTTAATTGTAAAACCACTCGATGGATGTCTGCCTCTGTGACGTCATGATGGGGAAATTTTGATTAAAAAATGTTTGAGGAACTTTAAAGTTGGCTCAAAATTAGGGAAGTTCTTTTAACAGCAGAGCTACGACGGGGAACTTTGTGAAGAGCCACAAATGCCACCTGAGAGTGACATCATCTGTTAGCAACCAGACACCTGAGGGAAAGTTTGGGATTAAAAAGAATCAACCAGGGATGATTTGGAAATCCTCTTTTGATTTCTAAAGATATAAATCCTTTCTAAACATCCATTTTTAACAACAGTCCAACTACTGACTTCTTATTGGCTGAAGGGGAGGCAGCTAGGAGTTTGGGGTTGGAACACTAGCCCTTATAGCATGTGCCCTTGGGCATGACACTAACCCTCTAATAAATGTGATAAAAAAATGTGCTCTAAATAGATTAAAACATAAATGATGAAAATCCTCGTATGACAGGATGAGTGGAACAGGTTTGACCTCACAGTTTTTCAAACCAATAGTTAAATCACCTGAAAAATACACATTTTTAATCATTTTTTTATAAACACAATTTTAAGAAGAGGTTAGAAAATGCTTCAGCGTTCATCTAAACACCAAAATCAGTAGTAATGAGCGTAAACAGGAAGTACTAAAACAGGAAGTACACGTTGTTATAAATAAATTATAAATCGTTTCTGCTATAGTTCTGGTGTTGTGACAACAAATAGAATGAAAAACAATATTAATATAATATAAACGTATTCATTTAGCAGTCTGTACATGAAATACTAATGTTTCGAAGCTATTAGCTTAATACAGATTTCTGATTAAGTTTAATTAAGATAAACTTGAAAATAACAGACAGACGTGTTAAATATTGTACACAGAGAGAAGGAGAATAATTTCTAATAAATTAATTTCTACCTCTGTGCTGGAGCTCCCACATTGATGGCTGCTTGCTGGCTGTTTGCTCCAATGAGAGGCTGAGTTTGGATCTCAGGGTCTGACATTTTCACACTCAGACAGCCTGTAAGGACACACACACACACACACACACACACAGTAATACAACTGTTGCAAGGCAGAGAGAGAGAATATCACACTCCTAAAGAGAAAACACACAACAGGAAAAGAACCAACACACCTTTTTGTTCAGAGCAGGTAGAAGTTGTTACACTCTGAGCTCTATCGCTGAGATTTTACCTTTTTCACTGATGGGAGTCGGAAGGAACTTTTTTTTTTTTTTTAACTCAGAAGAAACTGAAAGAAATCGTAAAGAACAAATCACGTCAATTCTCTGAACCAATTTGGTTTTTGTCTTGACTTTTTTTCTCAACGTGAATTTTCATTGGTTAATTGCGATGACGCATCATCCGTTACTAGGCAGAACACTTGGACTGTAGCGTGAATCTTGATCTTTTTGAAATCTTGTTACAAATATCTTTTGGCCCTAAATATCGGTTATTAAAAATCATATATCTCAAAATAAAACTATTTTATGATGAGGGAATTTAAAACAAAAACTTAATTTTGAACCTGCGGGTTTTAAAGACAAAGGGATTTAAATTAACCATATTTATTCTTTTTATATGCTTCTTGCCTTTCATTTTTTTAAATCAACTCTACAGTTTATGTTTAATTCAAATATTAGCACATAACATTCAGACAGACATCTTGTCTTTATAAGCATTTTCATCTACCCTTTTTTAAAACTTATATAAAAGCTTCATCCTATAGTTTTAAATCTGCCACGACAAACACAAGTTAAATGATTCCAGTCACTTTTTAATTATGGTTCATTGTGCTTGTACATAAAAAAAAAATCTAAAAATGTGACACTTTCTGAATGAAAGATGTGAGTATGTACTCTGGGCCTCTTGAGATTTTGGATAAAGGGCAGAAAATGCAAGAAAACAAACATTACTAGAAAAAGGTCTGAATAAACATTTTAATTTTTAGAATTTCTAATATCCTTCTACAATTACACCCACTGTCCTTCCTCTGGACATGCCCAAACCAACTCAGTCTGGTATAACTTTATCCCAGTTGTTCAACCTGTGCTGCACCTCTGATGATCTCATTCTTAATCTTATCCATCCTTGTCACTCCTAAGGAGAACCTCAACATCTTCATTTCTGCCACTTCCAGTTCTTTCTCCTGTCTTTTTGTCAATGTCACTGTCTCTAGACCATACAACATAACTGGTCTCACCATTGTCTTGTAAACTTTTCCTTTGACCTTTTCTGCCATTCTTTTAACACAAATCACTCCTGAAACTTTTCTTTATCCACTCCATCCTGCCTGGACTTTCTTCTTTATCCATTTACCATTTAGACCTGTTTTAATACAGCTAACTTTCTGAAAGAAGTGGTATTAACAATACTTTGAGTTAAAACGATAAATGTCTAAAAGTTTATTAGTTTGAAAACAATTTACTGTGGTCATTTTGTATTTTTATCTTAGTATTTTTACTGCAATTTCTGATAACTACTTTTAATTGTTCTGCTTAAACTGTTCCCTAAAAGTTGCTCGTGAACTGTCATACTTTTGTGTATTTGGGGCTAGTTGGCTGTAACATGATGTCAAAAATTATTTTATCAGAGATCACAAGCATGTGGGGTTAAGTCTGTTGGCAATGATGACTATTTACACACACTATGATGTAAACCTAAAATAATAACTATGACCAAAGGCAAATAGAAACCACGTCCAATTTTGTGACCGCTTGCTTTTTTGTTCCTGAAGGCAAGGAGAGAACCACCTCTTACTATTTTTCATAAAAACACAGTCAGATCCTGAAGGACCTTGAAGCAACTGATCATACTTCTGCATCAACTCCTTGGTGCTGTATTCTGTAGATTTGAACAGTCTTTGATTTTGATTAAGGTAACCTTTAGCACTTTTTCGAGAGGAGCCTATTGAGGTGGTTTGGGCATGTCCGACTGGGAGGAGACCCCAGGGAAGACACAGGACATGCTGGAGAGACTATGTTTCTTGTTTGGCCTGGAAACACCTTGGGGTCTCTAATGCTGGAAGAGGTGGGTGTGGAAAGAGATGTCTGGGCCTCCCTGCTCAAGCTTCTGTCCCCACAACCTGACTTCGGAACAAGTGGAAGATGATGATGGATGTAATCTTTAGCTTTCAGCTGATGAAAGTTTCCTCACTACATGCCCTGTATCTTTACCTTTACATTCACATTTATGCAAATATTTTCTTTTGATTGCCATTGTGCTAATTTTCTTTATTAATTGCATTGATGCGCTGTGATCAACCCACACTATCCTAAACTTATCCATCTTTTTAGCTCTCATGGAGAACCTCAACATATCCATCCCTGCCGCTTCCAGTTCTTTCACCTGTCAGTGCCACTGTCTCCCATCCATACAGCATAGCTGGTCTCACCACGGTCTTGTAAGACTTTCCTTTGACATTTGCTGCCACGCTTTTTTCACAAATTCCTCTCAAAAATTCCTACTCTCATCTATGGTCACGAGCTTTGGGTTGTGACCGAAAGAATGAGATCTCGGATACAAGCGGTCGAAATGAGTTTTCTCCGCAGGGTGTCTGGGCTCTCCCTTAGAGACAGGGTGAGAAGCTCGATCATCTGGGAGGGACTCAGAGTAGAGCCGCTGCTTCTCCACGTCGAGAGGAGCCAGTTGAGGTGGCTTGGTCATCTGGTTAGGATGCCTCCTGGACGCCTCCCTGGTGAGGTGTTCCGGACACGTCCCACCGGAAGGAGGCCCAGAGGAAGACCTGGGACACGCTGGAGGGACTATATTTCTTGGCTGGCCTGGGAACGCCTCGGGATTCCCCCGGAAGAGCTGGACCAAGTGGCTGGGGAGAGGGAAGTCTGGGCCTCCCTACTTAGGCTGCTACCCCCGCGACCCGACCCCGGATAAGCAGAAGAAAATGGATGGATGGATGGACCTCTCAAAACGTTTGTCCATCAACTCTATAATAATAATAATAATAATCATTTTATTTAAAAAGCACCTTTCATGACACCAAAGGACACTTTACAGTAAGAACAAAGATCAACAGAAATAAATTACATAAAGAATATAAAATGCATAAAGAATATAAAATACATACAGCGAAGTTAAGGAAAAACGAGTCTAAGAGATGTGTTTTCAGAGCAGTCTTGAATATAGAAAGAGCGGTGGTGTTTCTTAAGTCAGGGGGTAGCGAGTTCCAGAGATGAGGAGCAGATCAGGTGAAGGCCCTGCTCCCGATGGTGGAGAGGCGGGCAGAGGGTACATGGAGGTGTAGTGAAGAGGAGGATCTGAGAGAGCGAGAGGGGATGGAGATGTGTAGGAGGTCAGATAGGTACGGAGGGGCAAGGTTGCGGATAGCTTTGAAAGTGAGAAGAAGAATTTTGAAGACGATGCGTGATTTACCCGGGAGCCAGTGGAGCTGCTGCAGGGCAGGAGTGATGTGGTTGTAGGAGGAGGTTTGAGTTATGACACGGGCAGCTGAGTTCTGGACCAATTGCAGCTTCTGGAGAGATTTGTTGGGGAGGCCATAAAGAAGGGAGTTGCAGTAGTCAATTCGAGAAGTCACAAGACTGTAAACAAGGATGGCTGTGGAGCGGGGTGTGAGAGAAGGGCGGAGACGGTTAATATTTCGGAGTTGGAAATAGGCAGACTGAGTGACATTGTTGATGTGTGAAGTGAAGGAGAGAGTGGTGTCGAGGATGACACCAAGACTCTTGACCTGAGGCGAGGGGGATAGCAGAGAGTTGTTGGGGGGGAATTATGCCTGGACTCTCTTCATCACTTCTTTCGCACATTATCCATTTTCCTGGATTGCTGTTCCTAAGTTATTGAAGTCCTGCACCTTTGTGTCCTATTATCCTTGCTGTTCCACCTGCCTCTCTTTCATTCTTTCTGTTTTGTTAAGGCTGACTTTGATTCCTTTTCTTTCAAGTGCATAACCTCCACCTCTCCATGTTCACTAAAACTAATACTAATATTTCTTCTTCTTATTATTATTAAATATCATTATTATTTAACATATGTGATTTATTGTGGGATTCACCTTTTTGGACAACTAGTTCAATGAGATTTAGGAAATTCAATGCTCACCCATCACCAGCAGGTGGCGGTATGCTCGTGGTGATGCACCGGAAACGCAGCGTCTTCCAGGTTCTCTGGACCTTTAAGGTTTCTGATTGGTTGTTGTAGACTCTGGTGCTATGTCTTTATGGGGTTGGTTGTTGTTGCAGTTAGCACAATATTCAGCTTCACTAACCGAGAATGTAAATTAATAGCGACATAAGATTTAGTCTGGATTTACATCGTGCGGGAAAATGGTGCCATAGATGAAGAAGCCAAGTTGCAGCGTTATTAACTTTGTTAGCTTCTCCTCAAAGCGGCAGTTTTGAAAAGCAAGCTAGCCTTCGTTACGGCTAACTCTTAGTGTTCATTCAAAGAAGTAGCAAACATTAATCATCTTTTTCTACAGTAAATCACAGGTAAACGACAGTAGCATTGGCTGAATATATCTCAAAGTAATTATTTCCAACACGAAAGGACAGCTGCTTTATGAAAAGTGCCCAAACGTTTTGCTTCTCTTTTGCAGTTTTGATTCAACTCAAACTTTAAACCTTTTCCAATTAAAAATGCGCCCAACAAGAACAACAACTGCCAAAGTTTCGAACTACAACGAAAATGAAAGTCTGGACTCTGACTTGTGAGTTTTTTTAATTTTATTTTTTTATTTTTTTTTACCATTTTGTATCAATAATTTTCTGCATCAATGTCAATGCACGGGTGCATATTTTTTAATAATTGTTTATAATTCGGGATGACCACCCCCCAACTCTGAACCTTATGCTCAAAGTAAAACCTATGATTACAGTTGCTGGTCATAAAATTAGAATATCATGAAAACGTTTATTTATTTCAGTAATTTCATTCAAAAAGTGAAACTTGTATAATATCAGGCCTAGGCCTCCCTTGCAAAAGAGATCTGTGATCTCAATGGGATTTGCCTGGTTAAATAAAGGTTAATAAATAAATAAATAGTATTCATTCATTACACATAAACTGATATATTTCAAATGTTTATTTCTTTTAATGTTGATGATCATATGACAATAATGAAAACCCCAAAATTCAGTGTCTCAGTAAATTAGGACATTACTTAAGACCAATAAATAAAATGATTTTTAGAAATGTTGGCCAACTGAAAAGTATGAGCATGAAAAGTATGAGCATGAAAAGTATGAGCATGAAAAGTATGAGCATGAAAAGTATGAGCATGTACAGCACTCAATACTTAGTTGGGGCTCCTTTTGCCTGGATTACTTCAGCAATGCGGTGTGGCATGGAGTCTCAGTCTAGGTGTTATGAGAGCCCAGGTTGCTCTGATAGTGGCCTTCAGGTCTTCTGAATTGTGTCTGGCGTATCACATCAAACAGAGACACATTTGAGCCACGCTCTGTTTGTACCGACAGTTTTAGAGTGTGTGTGTGTGTGTGTGTGTGTGTGTGTGTGTGTGTG